ATTTCCGAGGCAATTTAAAGTTTTTATTTTTATTTGATCTTATATACAACAAATTAGTAACTAAAAATAAATCAATTTGCAATCCAGATAATCAAAACTCTTTGAAAACAAAGTTAAAAAATCTGATACTGAATTTAAGTAAACACTCTGAATTTTTCGAACAAAATATAAATTAAATATATTAGCTAGAAAGTGAACTAACTCGTTTATGTGTATGACTTTCACCTTTTTTAGATACGTGTTAGATGCGTTTATGTAAATGACTTTCACCTTTTTTAGATACGTGTGTAAAAATTTCAAACCATTTATTTTTTAAAGTAATATATATGGATCGAAAGAGCTTTGAATTTGTAATAAAATAGTAAAAGATTTATGAAAAAAGAATAATTACAAAAAAGTTATACCCATATTAGTAACATTATTTATGAAGGATTGCTTAAGAAAAATGCAACCAACTTATAAATCTCGCGTTCGGCTAACGGTGGCTTTGTAAAAGAAATTCATTAATTAAATTAATTTGCGCATAATTTTGCTAAAGTAAAATGTGCAAAACGATTTAATAACGTTATTAAAAAAGTTTTGAATTAAAATAACAAAATATTTTTAATCCTGTGTAAAAAGTGGAAAAACATACCTCCACTGCGTAGAAAAATAGGGTATGTGCGCATTATTACTTTTTTTGAAATTTAGCAGGCACATAGAAAATAGATTTATAAAGATGAGTTGAAACTTTTAAAAGTGTACCAACATTTCTTTATTATTAATGCACATTCGAAGCAGGAACGAAATTTTAAAAACTCACAAAAATCACTAGTAAAAAAAAACAAAAACAGAATTTATAACAAGAAGTAACAGTAGCAGAAACAGTTTAATAAAATGTAAGAGTAACAGTAAAAGTAGTGGAAATGCTCCTCCACTAGGTGGAAAAATAAAGTATTTGCACATAAATTTTATTGAAATTTGGCAGGCAAATAGAAAATTGATTTATTATTTACAGTGCCAACGTCAATGTCAATGTCAATGCACTTCCAGAACAGGAACGAAACATTGACGTTGGTACATTTAAATGTACCAACGTCAATGTCAACCCAGCCGGCATTATTACGTTGTTTCAACGTTGAAATTCGGTTGTAGCGTTGATTCAACGTTGTTCAACTATGTCACAACGTTAAATCAACGTTACCGTTTAAACGTTGATTGTTTAACGTTATTTCAACGTTAAATCAACGTTACAGTTTAAACGTTGATTATTTAACGTTATTTTAACGTCATTACTTCAATCATTGTTGACAAAAAATACGATATAAAATTTATGCGGTACAGCAAGGTACAGCAAGTTTTGTGGCTTGCAAATAGGTACAGCAAGTTTTGTGGCTTGCAAATGTGTACCGCAAGTTTTATGGCTTGCAAATAGGTACAGCAAGTTTTGTGGCTTGCAAATAGGTACAGCAAGTTTTGTGGCTTGCAAATGTGTACCGCAAGTTTTATGGCTTGCAAATAGGTACAGCAAGTTTTGTGGCTTGCAAATAGGCACAGCAAGTTTTGTGGCTTGCAAATAGGTACAGCAAGTTTTGTGGCTTGCAAATGTGTACCGCAAGTTTTGTGGCTTGCAAATAAGTACCGCAAGTTTTGTGGCTTGCAAATAGGTATAGCAAGTTTTGTGGCTTGCAAAAAAAAAAAGATAGACGGCTCTGGCTTACCTTCACGTGGTGTCTATTGTTAAAAATGAATTATTTAGTTGCATTGGAACTTAATTTAAATCATTTACTAAAAGCCAAGACATAAATTAATTACTATGTTTCGAAACATTTGTTGTTTTTTTTGTTTGTTTTTTATAAGGTTGGTCGGTTAAATATGATCATTTAAATGAGAAAATGTATACTCGTGCTACTGAATACATGTAAACTCGAGAAAATGAATAATCGTGCAAATGTATACTCGTGCAATCTGGTAAAACAATTCTGTATTGTGCTTTCTTTTTTTAATAATTGCATGCGAAAATGTTGAAAATATCATTTCTATGTATTTTCTTTTTTACGTTGGTTGAGGGGAAGGGGGAAAACCATCCCTCTCCTCAAATTGTACATCACTAATGTATGTTCTATAGAAAAAAAATATTGCTTCATGTAGTACAACAATATTTTCAATACTAATGTATGTTGTATAGTTATAAAAGATTATTTTTTCTTTTTAACATATATACATTTGATATAATACATTTGATTATTGAAATAAAGATGACGTTATTTTTTGTCAGGTGGAAGGGGGGAGAGATGGTGCATTAGACTTCCTTTATTTAAAGTCAATGTGTACATCAATAATATATGTTGAATAGTAATAAAATATTATTTTTACTTGTTAACATTTAGTTATTGTAATAAAGATTTAATTATTTTTATTTTTTGTTATGCGTTGGGGCAGGGGCGGGGGGCGGGGGGCGGTGCGACATACGCCCTTCCCTAAAGTTAGTGTGTACATCACTAATGTATGTTGTATAGTAAAAGAATATATTTTTACTTTTTAACAAAATATTTAATTACTGTAATAAAGATTAAATTATTTATTAGAATGTATGATTATTGTATTAGGGTGTTATAACATCATAACCACATCTACGGCCAACTCTAAGATCACCTTATTTTGTTTGGCAGTGTTCTGGAATCAAGTTATGGCAATATTTTATGAATAAAATCTAACAATTACATTAAAAAAGTGCTTATTTTTTACAAAAACTTGTATTTTCTTAAGGGTTAGATGGTGTTTCATTACCCCCTCTGGCTCCCAAGATACACCCTACGTCCAGGCACCTATATGAACTTGTAGCCCATTAGTGCACCTATCTTTTGATACCAAGATATAGGTATTTGGATAAAAATTGACAAAGTTATAACAATTTAAGTGAAAAAAATAATTATTTTGACCACAGTTTCTTCAACAATTCCATATATCTTAAATTTGGTACTAAAAACGTTATAACTTTTTTTAGAATTGTTTTTTTTTAATAATTTTTTCATCTTTAAAATACTGTATTAAAGGCCTTTCTAATGATATATAACATTCTACTATATGATTAATTTAAAAATTTCAGTGCGCGTACCTAATATATATATATATATATATATATATATATATATATATATATATATATATATATATATATATATATATATATATATATATATATATATATATATATATATATATATATATATATATATATATATATATATATAACTTCATATTAGTTTAACATTGCTCTTGTTATATTAACTTTTAATATAACAAGAACAATGTTATACTAATATGGTTATAATATTCTTAAATAACTGTAACAATATTGTTAAAGTTATATATGTTTAAAATCAAATCAAATTAGAACTTTTAATTTTGAGTCTTATAAATATATATTGAACCTATAAGTATATCTATCTATACTTTATATCTATACTAAGTATAGATATAGATATAATATATAGTAATCTATACTAAGTATAGATATAGATATAATATATAGTAATCTATACTAAGTATAGATATAGATATAATATATAAGTATAGATGTAGATATAAATATAAACTATAAATATAGATATAAATATAATATATTATAATATAATATATAGTAAAGTATACTTTATATTATATTATAATATATTACATTTATATCTATATTTATAATTTATAAATATAGATAAAGGTATAAAATCATGTAACTTTTAATATTTATAAGCAATAATTATAGTTAGGTATATTTTATAATATAAAGACTTTATATTATAAAATATAATTTAATAAATAAAATAAATCGGACTTTATATTATCAAATATACAATATAGGTTATATATATTAAATCTACAACTATACTTTATTAAAGTATAGATGTAGATTTAATATATATAACCTATATTGTAAGACTTAAAAATAAAAAGACTAATTTGATTTTTTTTAATACTATTTATTTATTACTTACTGTTTCACATAGACTATGCACTACAGTATAAAATATAAAAATCGATCAATCTAAGTCTCATGGCGCTTGAAATGCTTACTTTTGGCGTTTTTACGACATCTTACCGTTATCCGGGAGCCATCTCGGGCATTGTGTTGGCAAAACTAAAGCGTATCGTCATAAACTTACCGAAGCTGGCATGCCTATTTAAAATCGCATTGGCAACGAGGTGTTTTATCGCTCATCGGCCGATGGCGGAAAGTCAACACAAATTAGCATGCCGGTCCTACATCATCTACCCGGCAGCGGTAAGCCGCATTAGGAATCACAAAGGGCCAGCACCGGCATTCCGGCGGCGGCTTTGCGCATCGCGGTCCGCTGAAAGCATGTTTGCTGGGTTCTAATCTTATTTATGTTTATCAACTGACTTTAATTGTCAAAGACGTAATTAAATCCCGTTTAACGGTTTCATCAATTCAACCCAATTTTGTTTTACTCAGGTAAAAATATCTGTCAATGAGTCTGGGTATTAAGAAATCCCGCTCCCAATCTTATTACAACGCTTTAAATTTAGCGTTTTAAGTAATATTTGTTATAGTTGACTGTTTCATTTTGTGCCGATGAAACTTGATGAGTTTTTTTCCAAGAAATTTTTTAACTTTTGTGGTTGTTTTTTGATAGATTAGTGGCGTTTGATGATAGTGTGCCTCTAATTAATATAATTCTATTTATATTATAAATAAAATTATATTATTTTAGCTGACTAAGATATAGATGCAACGGTCGTTTTCTTTTCCCCGCGTTTCCTTAATAAAAAATAAAACATGTTATTTTTTTTTTTAATGAAAAATATCTTATAAGTAATATAAAAAAAGAAGCACAACAAATAAATTGTTGCACAAATTCCCTTTTTTTTACTATTTACACGTTACAATTTCTCATTATATGAAACACAATTTTATTAATTTAAAATTTCATAATTTTAAAAATTAAAAAAAAAGCTTCTGCAAAAACACTTTCAACATATCTAAAAAACAAATTGATTTAACAAATAAATAAATGCCCAAAAAATCTCGGGTTAATCTATGCTAACTATTTTTTAACTGAACTCATATCATAAATGACATATTTTACAATTCTCTACTATTAACGATTTGATTTTGCAATTCTTGGTCACTTTTTTCTAAGAGGAACTCAACTAAATTATTTTCATGTGGTTTAACTTGACGGATGGAAAAACAATGAAAATAATTTTCATTAAACTTGCCAACACATCTGTATAATATAAAAACGGTTATCAAAACAATTAGTTGTTACTTCGCTGTATAAAAATTGTCAATTAGCTATACCTAACAACTGAACCCCTTGGTATATGCGGCATAAAACGATCCTGAAATGAAATGAATGAAATATTTTAAATAATTATATTAATTCAAATAAAGATTTAAAACAACTGCTTTAATAAATAAATAAAAAATTGAATTGCTGAAAACATTAAACATTAAAATATTTCTTGGCTCTAGTTTCTTTGATATAAGCGACCACTTGATAAAGTTAGTAAAGTAACACCAATGATTGAATACTTAACTCGCCAAATTGATTAACCTTTATTTTACTAAAATTTTAGTTTTATAATATTCAATTTAATAAAAATTTAGTATCATTTATTATTTATAATTGAAAAGAAAGTTAGAGAGACAATAAATATTTTAATTTTTCTCAACTTTTTGCTTTATGGAGTTAAATGATTTAGCAAGACAACGATAAAATTGTCTTTCAAACTGATTTGTAAGCACATATTAACGTTAAATCGTAGCTGACGTATCTGATAATCTATTTAACTGACATCTTCAGTAAAATATATTAAAAAAACATAGTACTGTAATTACGTCTCTAGTCAGTTGGCTACAAAAATCAGTGACAGTTTTTTGACAAGTTAGACACCATCTTTCATTTTGTTTGATGCTTGCACATTTAGTTATACAGCGGATTTAGGCTAATAAAGAAAAGAATTTACCAATTTTATTATAAAAATCTGCTATTGTTAATAATTACTGAATTATTGCTGATATTGCCAACCCCCGATATTGCTAAATGTCGACACTTTTACTAAGCCTTCTACTTAATGTCTTCTTAGATTATTATTCATTATAGACCTCTCATGGAAACCTTATCTACAATCCAGCGCAAAGTTAGCCTATATCTATAAATCCTTTAACCGTTCTTGTATGGAATGCTGTTGTTTATCTGATGGTGTCCTTTCTCTATTAGACAAGTTCCAAAAATTTATTGTAAATGTAGTTTGCCCTGCTTTAGCTGCCAAGCTTCAGCCTCTGTACTAGAGTTTTAAAGCTACATCTTTCTCTTTTCTGCAAATAAAATAGTTGTTCTGAAGCAAACTATTATATATAACTGACCACACATGCCTGGTTAACAAGTGTTATGTTGTGCACATTTCACTTACGGAAACTATTATTTGTGTACTTTGAGGCAATTTACTTTGTTATTTTTGAGGCACATAAACGTCCCCGGCTGTTTTTTTAGCATTAAAAAAATCCTCAAATTTTTCTCCAAGAAAATTTTTTTATTGTTAAATTTTAAAATTATTTTACTATGAACTAAAGTTGAAAAGAATAAAGTTAAAGCAGTAAAAAAAAAAAAGTAATAAAGTAAAATTTTTTAATAAAGTAAAAATAGCTATAGAAATGGAACCCAGATGGATTATTTAACTTGTTTCTCAGCGCAGCAACCTTGTTGGTCAAGGTTCCTGTTTCAGTGTTAAGGGAGGGTTATAACCACAATTAAGTGGCCTCCACGTCTATAGTGGCCTTCTCGGCCTTGACGAGGCGAATTAACATAAAAAAAAAGTCACCAATAACAACAATATCTAACGACAGAAAATCAGAAACGAACAAAAAATAATCAGATAATTGATACATATGTGCTTAGACCAAACTTGTGACTATTAGAGCATTTGCAAATAAAATATGATGAACCACCAACATTGAGATACAAAGATGAAACATCTTAACTTAAATTAGTCTCACCAAGAGCAAGTCAGTCTTGTAAATTTTGCAGGAGTTAACAAATATAAAGTTATTTCGAAGGCCAGGAATGTTTGTAATAGATAGAAACAATTGGATAAGAATGATGTTTAATGTGTTCAAGGTACTCTAATCAGGTTTTCAATTATTAAAGAAGTTGACTTAACCATAGATAGTGCATAGCCAATAAGCAATCAGTTATACAACTACTTCTAATCAACCTAAAGTCATTGAAGCTCCTACTAATCAGCTGAAGTCAATGAAGTTCCTACAAATTCATAACGAAGGGCTCCTTATGCGGCCTTAACAATACACACTAAAAGCACAAACAGGGATACTATACCCTGTACCCTAATTATGAGATTAAAGAAAGAGTTGCATAGTCACTACCACGAAGGCACAAATAAAAACCTATGAGTAGAATCAACAAGACCTAGCATTTGCTATTCTAGGCAGGAAATAATGTAACACAGGTCTATGCCAGCTTATTAGATGAAGAAGAGGTACAAGATGTGGTAATAAAACTGTGCATATAACTATTTTGTATAACTAAAATGTGCTATAAATATATAAATAAGTGGATTTAAAACTCATCCCTAACTATATTCATCTTACTTTTTACTTATAAAATGTATTTCACACAACATAAAACTAATTGTCTGAGTTTTATTTCACTGAAAATTTGAATGAGACTTGAAAATTAAACATTTAAACATTCTTGACTTGCCAAGTAATATTTATATAATCTTGCTTACCTTGATGTATAATTTACATAATATATTTGTTTTTGGTAAACTAATTTTATATTACAGCTTAACTGCAATAATTCTATTATAGACATTAAGTAATAATGTTATATTTAGCATATAAAATTTGTTAATAAATGAATTTAACATATAAAATTTGTTAATAAATGGCACTTTTATTTAAAACAAATTTTTTCTTAAAAAATTTAATAAAATAATAGTAAAAACAATAACTTACAATTTCCCAGAGAACGCATCTAAAAATAAATGATTATAAATACATATTTATACACACACACACACACAAATACACAAAAACAGTAGTGTTATGTTAGAACACTTGCTTCATAGGCACAAAGCACTAAATTTAATTTGATAATGTCTCTGATAGAACTACACTCAACTTGTTTCATGGTGCAACCACCTTTTTATCTTTTAAAATTAAAAGTTTTTAAGTATTTTCAAATCAACTCATTGGTTTCAATATTGAGTATACTCTTCTACACATTTAAATCTATTCAATATATTAATCTATTCCATGATATAAACATGAAGAAGATTCTTAACCAACATAAAACTTTGTAAAATATAGCAAATAATATCAATCTTATATAGAATATCATATTTCCCATATATAAAAACTGTATCCAACATAAAATATGGTAAAATATAGCATATAATATAAATTTGTAACTTAGAATATCATATTGACCATGTATAACAATTGCATCTGACATAAAACTTGTTAAAATATTGCATATAAAATTAATTTGTTACCTAGAATAGCATATCTCTAATATATAACACAGTGGGCCTAGAAGGCTAAGTTTTGGAAGTAGAATCATAACTAATGATTAAGAAATCCACAAAACTCAGTGAGGACTTTTTGGAAAGATGTTTTTTTGCTAGTTATAGGAAAATTTAAAGTTTTAATACTAAAATGTGTTGGCTGAGTTCAAATTACCATATCTGGGCATTTTTGATAAACTAGTTTTTTATGATAAATACTCTAATTTAACTTTTTTTTAGACAACAATTAAAAGAGTAATTTATTAGAGATATACTTAAAGAAAAGAAAATTTGAATAATTAATTTGGGGGTCTGGTTTAACCTGTTTATCGATAAGAAATTTAGTACTTGAAAACAAGTATCCAGTCAAATTTGGATTTAAAAAAAAATGTTAGTGTAATAAAATTATAACGAAAGACTTCTAGTGATTTAATCCTGCAACATACATTTGAAGACAAAAAGTTACAACAGTAAAAAAACTTCAAATGTTAATAACTAATCATTATGATTCATATATAATGATTCAAATATAAAGTTTTCAAACATATCATCAAAATATCTCTTTGGTTTTGAAAACATACGCTCATGAGATTTGCTTGTGTGTTCATTTAAGCCACAATTGTGGCATAACTTTGGTGGATGCAAATGGATAATTTGGTTTAAATCACCAGGATCTGATCTCTCTAAAAGAGGATTCATCACATCTGTAAGTTGTTCTAGATGTGATATCTTACAAGAGAGAAGCTTTAAATAGTTTCTTATATCTTTGTTGTTTGCTTCTAGACTTTCCTCTGATAAATTGCCAAGACCATAGCCATCATTAAAAATTATTAACTCAACTGAATGATGAAGCACTCTGGCATATTTGTAATAATGTTAAATGTAGCATTATTGCATAACTCCTGAAATTTGTCAATTTTTATTTTATGTTGACAAAAAACTATACAAAGAATTACACTGATTTGAGAATGTAACAGTAACATGCTATCTTTGTACATAGGAGAGCATAGATTTTTTATGGTAGATATTAGTACTTCAGAAAAAAACTGCGCCCTTATGAACCTGTTGTAGATGTCCCTCCCTTCTCACCAGAGTTACAACACATATCTAATCGCAGTCTAGTGTTTACTTTTATTTGCGTAATAAACCTGTCTTTTGCATTACATATAGAAATATAAATACGGTAGTGGTGTAGTGGTAAAACACTTGCTTTATAAGCGAGAGGTTCCGAGTTTGATCCCCACCACATCCCTGGTAGTACCGCGGTTAACTTGTTTCTCCACGCAGCCGCCTTGTCAAGGGTAAAAAAAAAAACACGTATTGGTTCACCAATAGTGCTTCCAATACCGGTAGTACCAATACCGGTATACCGGTAGTACCGGACTTTTTCAAGTACTGAAATACCGGTATTGGTTTAGCTCAATACCGGTATTAAAAATATATGTAAAGGGCTTGTGATATAGTAGATGGGAAAGCCCTCTTTTCGTGAAATACAAAATTAAATGATATATTTCAGAGCGCTCCTGGTGGGATAATAGCTAAATAACAAAAAACGTGTTTAAAACATGTAAAACACATATTACTATGTTACTTCTTGAAGTAACATAGTTAGTAATATGTGTTTTAACATAACTTATTATGTAGCTTGATATAATTTTTGCCTAATAGACAACACATTCGCTCTGCATTTAATTCTTCTTGAGCATTATCAGTAGTTAAGACAATAAGATCTAGCAAATCTTGATTAGTTTCTTATCAAAAACACAGGATGTAATGATCTTGATGCATTTGGTGAATAATTTTACCACATGATCATATTTTTACTACCTCCATAGCATTTTAGTTTCAGAGGGATTGAGACCATATTGAAACTTATTTGACTTGCTTTCTAAAATTTCTTTTGATTTCATTGATACTTATTGCCCTGCTCCATCACAACCATTTTTAAAACACATCCGATACTCATCGCCGCCTACTGGAATAAAAGAATCTTTAATTGTATTCAAAACAGAATCAATTGTCATTTGAACAAGCTCTTTGTATTGAACAGAAACATGTTTCCAGCCAAAACATTACTAATTGTAGGGCACAGTTTTTTTTCATTCAAGGAACTTATTGGTTGTTGGAAAATAGATGCCTTTTGAAGCAAATAGAAATCTCTCATTTGCTCCTTACTTCGTGTAAAGGAATGCATTAAAGCTATGAATTAATCTATGATAAAGGTATCTATTGTTTCCATATGGTTTGTAAAAAAAGCCTTTCCAACACAAGTAATACTTTTGTTTTTTTGAGTGTTAACTCTATATAAAAGGTAACCCAATAACTGGTTAACATTAAACTTGGGGCACTCATTAGTAATATAGTTGTTTATATAATTGAGAAGTTCCTGTGATATAATTGAGAAGTTCCTGTGTCATCTGTTTTTTCAACTTATCACCCAGTTCTGTAAAAGATTTTCTTTGTTTTAAAAAACACATATCTGTGTTGTAAGCATCCTCTACTTCATAAACTATCTTTTGATGCTTGTGAAATAAATGCACATCCATTTTTCTTGAAATTTTTTTTTTCCGCGTTTATGTTTCCATGTTTTTTGACAGGCATTTTCAAATTCCTGTGAATTAACTGATAGTTTTTATAAAGTATTTCTTTAATGGCTGAATATGTTACTGAGTTTGACTAAGCAGTTTTGTCAGCTTTAATATATTGTGTGGATAAATCTACTTTTTATTTTATTTTATTTTCCTTCATTTATTTTTTATTTTACTTTACTACTGCTGAAACAAACACAAAATCATATTAAATGAACAAATAAATATTTATAAGTTTTCATACTTGTTACAAAAAATAAAATATGCACATATTTAAAAAAAAATAATAATAATAATCATTGTTCAACTTTTTTAAATCATGTAAATAAAACTAATAAAAGTGTTAACTTGCCTCAGTTCCTCTTAATATGTGTGAAAAGAAGAAGTGTTAAGTATTTTAAAAATAGAGACAAGTTAGCGCTTTTGAAAAACCTTCAAATTTATACTGATAAAAAAAAAAAAAAAAAAAAAAAACCTTCAAATTTACAACAAAATTACATAAATAAATTTAAACACTTAAAACAAAAACAAACAAAAAACAACAAAAATAACTTTTTTAATTTATTTTATATAAGCGGTTTAGCAATCTAAATCGTGTCCTACATATACCTTCTATAAACATTGCTTATATATAATGTTTTTTGAGAAGACTTAAATATACTTTTAAATGCTATAACTTTAAATTCTGGCTGCATTTATTAATTATTTTATAGCAGATATGATATTCGAGGTGAATACAATATTCTATTGATATTTTTTGCACTAAGAGTAACACTATACAATGTATTGTGTAAAACATCTCTGCAAGTGTAGAAATATTTTATTTTTGTTTTCAAATTGTTATAAATTAAGATGTTATATCACAACTGGCATAAACAGTTTATTATGAATATTTTGAAAACCTAGATAAAAAGATTTTAAATTTGATGTCATAGGTATTACCTAAAACACCAAATAGTTAAACTTATATAAAAAAGTAGCTTTATAAGAGTTGAAACATTAGGATAAAAAAAATAGCTTCCTTGACTATAGTGGTCTAAATGACAGTAGCAAATAAATATATATAAAAAAAGAAACATATTTTGAAAAAAAAAGATTATATAAAGATAGCTGTTTCAGAAAAACAAAATAGTTGATAATCTAGCATAGTTACCGTATTTTGTCTAATTGGTCTTTAATAAAAAAAATCTTTTCAGGTTTGCAGTGAGAAACAGTTGACTCCATTGTCCCTTAAATTGAAAATCTAGCAAACATAAAAACTGTAAATTAATTAGTTTCCTTTATTTATTGTAATAACAAAAAAAATACAAACCAAATATTTCAAAAATAACAGGTTTATTTTCTGTAACTTTAGACCATTCCTTTAAGTTTTTAATTGTAGTTGTAACAAATTTGTATGCATTCTCTCTGGGTTTCTCTAATGTCTTACGCTGAATCTATACAAACACACACACACATGTAAATAAATAAATAAATAAATAAATATATATATATATATATATATATATATATATATATATATATATATATATATATATATATATATATATATATATACACACACACTGAAATATATACAGATATAAAAATATACTTTTTATTGAAAATTGCATTAAAATATATATTTTGCCTGCTTAAGTGTTTAATCCGCCATTTAAAAAACACATCAAAAAAAATTTTCTAAAAAAATCTTGTGTAAACTAGTTTATGGGAGTGTGGGCACAGGCGTAAGCTAAAACTATCCTTTCCCACAAAGACATATATATATATATATATATATATATATATATATATATATATATATATATATATATATATATATATATATATATATATATATATATATATATATACACATATATATTTGAAAACAATTGTATAAGTTCAAATTTAGGGTTGATACCATCTACAGTCAAGTAGCTTCCTTGACTGTAGTGGCCTTCTTAGCCTTGGGAGGTTAATTTAAAAATAGAAACATTAAAATATATATATACATATAAATTATATGTGTCAACATATGTATGTATGTATGTATGTATGTATGTATGCATGTATGTATATATGTATATATATATATATATATATATATATATATATATATATATATATATATATATATATATATATATATATATATATATATATATATATATATATATATATATATATATATATATATATATATATATATATATATATATATAATATATATATAGATGTGCCAGATACCTAATTTCAGAAATGCAGAGTCCCAAAAAGGACTCCCAATTTGAAAGTCACAAAAAATAACTTTATTCTAGTTTTTAGTATCCAGGAGCTCTAAAAATATAAAAAAGTTGATGATCTACTATTAGTAAAAAATTAAGACTTTTAGGTTAATGAACAATAAAATTCTGAGTCCTTAGATATAATGGTGGCAAGGACTGCGGATTTAGGTTTAAGGAACAGTAAGTTCCAAGTCATTGAATTTCATGAACTTTTTTTCGCACAGCAGATTGTAAAACAACCATTATGTTTAGAGATTCTAGACACCAGAGACCAGGGAAAAATAGAGATATAAAGCATCCCCGCATAACTCAAACTTGGAGACCCAGGTAGTCAAAATTGGCCAATTCATTGCAGTACATGGAATCAGGTACATTTAATGACAATTTTGATAGAAATGAAATTTAAGTGTTGTAACTATTTTTTTCTTTAAATTACCTGACTGCTTGACAAACTAAAATTTACATGACTACACTCAGTTAATGTATGTACACTCACTGTGGCTATTATTATTTATGGCAAATTAGTTTAGTGCACTTTTTAACCAATTGTGGTATATATGAGCTGAAAATAAAAGTAGATAACAACCAAATATAAAAACTAGTGTCAATTATCTCAACCAAATATAATATCTACCATAATTTGAACTGTAAATTAATCTATATATCCTAAACAACCTACATTTGTTGGTTGGAGATTTTCTTTATTTGAACCTTTGCCCCTATAACAAAATTATAAAAAAAGAAAAACTAATTTATTTTACTAATTATAATATTCCAAAAATTTAAAATAAAGACAATGCTCAAAATTAAAATGAAATACATTTTCATAAAAATATATATATATATATATATATATATATATATATATATATATATATATATATATATATATATATATATATATATATATATATATATATATATATATATATATCAGTGGTGTACACTAGACTTTTAGATGTTTAAGTTTTGACACTTACAGGTATTGTGCAAACTCCAAACTTTTGTATGTTCATGCTTATGTCAAATGAAATTGTTTTGCAAAGAGTTGCGGTGATAAGAGCTTGGGGACAAAAAAACCCCAATTTTTGGGCCCACCCCTTAACGTGGGAGCAACAAGTTAATAAAATAATTTTTTTAATATTTTTATCTAAGTTTTATCATCAACAAATTTCAAATTTCATCCAATGATTTCTTATTTTTAGAAAATTATGACCATATAAAGTTTTAACCCCCCTCAATTTGAGGGGGCTGTAAACTTTGTAGGGTCATAAAAACTAAAAACTAAGAGGTTATTGCATGAAATTTGAAATTTGTTGATAAATATAAACTTAGATAAAAATACTAATAAAATTATTTTATCAACTTGTTGCTCCCACGTTAAGGGCTGACCAAAAATTGGGTTTTTTTTGTCCCCAAGCTCCAATCACCACAACTTTTTGCAAAACATTCTCATTTGACATAAGTATGAACATACAATAGTTTGGAGTTTGCAATATGTGTGTAAGTGTCAAAACTCAAACATCTAAAAATCCAGTATACACCACTGTATATATATATATATATATATATATATATATATATATATATATATATATATATATATATATATATATATATATATATATATATATATATATATATATGTATATATATATATATATATATAAATGTTCTCCCTATTTATCAGTCGTATGTAATCATTAAAATAAATCTAAAAATATATACTTATTTATTTGCGCTTCTGCAGTTTTTTTAAAATGATTAAATTTAATTAATTTGATCAATTAAAAATAATGGTTTTAACATAAACTGTACTTAATTTTGTCTTGTTATATCTTAGAAAGTATTTAAGACCTATTTTTTTACCACAAACAGTATGTATATATGCATACATATGTATACATACATTTATACATATATATATATATATATATATATATATATATATATATATATATATATATATATAATATATATATGTATATATGTATGTATATATATATATATCATGCGTGAATTGAAAATAAAACTACATAATTTTTACTCTACTAATCTCATGTTATTCGCAATAAATATAAAATATAAGGATTTTTTTTGTTAAAAATATTTATATACAAAAAAAAAAGGCAGGTAGGACTATTGCTATGTGTGTAAATTTTGATAAACATAAACTTTAAGTATTGTAACTATCCACTATACAACAAAAGCATCTCCACCAACATTGAAAAAATCAAAATTTCAAAACTAATAGATTTTCATTTCCCACCATCAAGCTCACTGCACAAACTATTTAATTGAAACAACAAAAAAGTTAGTTACAGCTGCTTGAACAGCATTTAAAAATTAAAAAAAAAAACACTTAATTTAAAATGGTCTGTCCTAAAAAATGTCCTTGCCTACATCAACAACGACAAAAATGGATACTTAATGTCTAAATGTCAAAGAGCTGTTAAAAAAAAAACTGATTTCTAAACCTGAAAATCAAATGGAACAATCTACACATGCATAAAAATTATCTTAAATGATGTATTTTTTTTTTTTTTTGTATATAAATTTTGGACATATAAAACAATATAAAATATATATAAACATATAAATTAACAGAAAAAACATATTTTACCTGATGATTGCGAATAGCATGAAACTAATAGTAGTTATAAATATGTAATTTTAATTTCAATACATTATATTATAGCTCTGATTAAGTTCATAGAGCACTTTCTATATATGAGTTGAAATATTAGGCTTTAAACTAGTGAAATTTTAATAAATTAAGTATATAGTATACCATTGTAAAAGATAAATTTCCATTTTTTTATATAAATATAATCATATTATTAAGATGTCATTAATATATATATATATATATATATATATATATATATATATATATATATATATATATATATATATATATATATATATATATATATAATATATATATATATATATATAAATTTACCATGGTAATAAATCATTGCTTTCTTTTTGTGAGATTGAAAATAATGATGTCAGGTTTTTTTTACAAGTTGAAAGTTTTGATGAATTCGGCACTATAAAATTTACATTTTTATGTTGTTTGCAAACACTTGAACTTCTTATCTCATTTAAAGTGTTAGGACTGGGGAGCTTTTTATTTATTTGAATATTGTTAGCAATTTTTATGTTGTACCCTTGCTGATTAATACTATTGTTGTTACAATGCAAACTCTTTTGAAACTGAAACTGCTGAGGGGGTTGAACTAAAATATTTTTGTTCGAAGTGTATTTCATATCAGACTTTGATGTAACTGAACTTATACATTGCTTTTGCAGCTTTGAAGACCTTTCAATTTGAGATCTATTTTGATATGATTGATTTTCAAGAGATTGAACATTAAAATAAAAATTTTCATCTTCATTATCTCCTGATAAATCAATAGGATCTGCTAATACTGAAACTCTTTGTCTTTTGCGACAGCCAAAAATTGGCACTAAAGAACTGCTTTCTTCTAAGATTTAAAATAGTCTAAATTAAAAACTATAAAGTAAAAAATAAAAGAACTACAGAATTGTTTACACAAAGATTTTTTCTAACAAGTTAAAAAACGACATCTTTTATTTTAATAGTCATCATTATTTCACAACAATTGTAATAATTAAAAAATTATGTTTTAGAGCAAACCGATATTTTTAATTCTTATTTACATAGTTTATATTTTATAAACAGTTTCGAAGTCATTGCCATAATCTTTTGTTAAATTTTGTGATTGATACCAATTGTTTATGAAATGTAAAAAAGAATTTTATGAGCTTTTTTAAAAATAAAAAATACTACTTTAAAAATTAAAACTCGAATAACGAATATTAAATGAAATTTTAAAAACTTAAGCCACAAAAACTTCTAAACTTTAAAAACATAAACATTACCCTTTAAACTAAACTTTAAAATTAATAATTTTAAATTTAATTTTTAAATAAAAACTTTTAAATTAAACTAAGCTTTAAAATCATAAACATTACCCTTTTTTGTTTGCCGCAACATGTTATGGATTATTATGAGTTAAATATTAACAACTTATTTATTCCCGCTGAATTAAATTCAACTAGAACTTAGGTTTCTTTTTAAGCAGTGAGCTAATTTGATTCAGTATTAACATTGAGTATTTTACTTAAGTTAAAGTTTTGAAAATTTGACCACTTTTATCTTGTAAACATATCCTTATTTACTGAGTTTGATTCCACGGAGAAACAAGACGAAAAAATAGATTTTTTATGAGCTGTAAAAATGGCTGCCGAAGTAAGCTGATATTTTTGGATTGCCTTAACATTAATGATATAACTATTATCTTATGTTAAGACAAATTTTTTAAATGGCAGTAGCAAGAGGAGTTCTTTCATTCCATATGGGATCATCTTTTCTTAGTAGAGATCTAAATTTATATAACTGTTGGTTATCTAAAAAGAAATTAGCATCTAGTTGTTACGACAACAGTCAAACAATAGAAGCTGTGGAAAAAAAATCTGACACTGTTATCTTAAAAGAAAGTGATTTTCAAGAAAAATTCATAAAAGGATCTGGACCTGGAGGTCAAAAAATTAACAAAACAAGTAATTGTGTTGAGCTAAAACATGACGCCACTGGTATCATTGTAAAGGTTTGTCGTGTTTTAATTACATATGATTTGTTTAGCAATTTATTTCTAAAAACTATTAAGTTTATTAAACAGTCATATTAGTTATTTTAACTTTTCATTAAATACGAAGCCAGTATTTAAACTTATGGCTAACAACTAAAATAAGCTTTAGGCTAAACGGTATGACTGTATATTGACTATACGAAATGGCTTAATCTGTGATAGACAAACGTTCATATATCAAATTTGGCGTAAAAAAAAATTGATTTTAGCGTTAGTATAAATTTGATTTGCAGTATAAATTTGATTTTTGGAATAAAGCAGTCTTCAGAGTTCATAAATAAAGTAAATTACTGATAAATGATACCAAAATTATTCCCATCAGTTTTATTTTTATATCTGATGATATAACTGGAGTCAATATGTCCTTAAATATTTGGTATAGGGAATTTTATTCTGTTTTTATCTCAAATTAATTGATTATTATAAGCAATCAATAATGACTTAGTTTAATCATTATTGGTTTTTTTCTAGTTATTCGCATTTTTTATCAATTGCTGATTTGCTCATATTTATATTATATTTATTGATCAATGGTCTATATTGAGATATCTTTGTCAAAGTTTAGGCTTTGCAAAAGTTAAATTTTATGAAATCAAAAATGATAAAGATTTTGCCTTAAAACTATTTTGATGCAGAGTTACTTTAATAGTTTAAATTCTTGTAATTGTCTCCAAGTATTTGTTTAAAATTTCAAATAAAATGTTAAGCCCTGATAAATTTGTGTAATAATTTCAGTTTTATTAAATGAATTTAAATAAGGGGTTGTCCATAAATTACATAATGCAATTTTTGATCATTTCTGACTCTTATCATAACGTTGTAACCCTTCACCTTATTACAACAATGTAACTCTTTAGTTGAAAGTCTGGTACAAGTTGTCACAAAACCACTAATCCCTCCCCTTCCCTAGAGTGTGACATAATCAATGGATGATCCCTACTTTGGTATACAACTAGTCAATAGTAGAAACTATGTTAGGTAAATCTAAAGATTAGCTGTCAACAAAATCATTCTATAACAAAATATAGCAACGTTAACATGAATACACTTTAATTTTTTGATTAATAAAATAGACTCATGTTTGTTTGTTTTTTTATTAAATATTAAAAGCAAATTAGCATTTAATAAGGAAATTTCCTGCTACTTTTCTCACTAATGATGCTTTTAATGTAGGCATCGAAGTGCAGACCTTTGGGTTCTGAAATCAGCACTCTAACCATAGTCATAGCTGTTCAAATGATGAGATATTAATAATAATAAGATCATCATTGTTCATTTTACTTATCAAGTAAAAATAATTGACCAATTCATAAAGTTTATTGAAAATTTATTTTAAGAGATTTCCAATAACCAAAAGGTCAACAATTATAATGTAGCTGTCTAAGCGAACATAAAAATTTATATATAAAACGCTCTTCAAAATTATGTCAAACTGGTTTAGAAATTTAAACTTAAAAAATATTTAAATACATAAAAAAATTATACTCACATCTTTAACCCTTACTAATTTTTTAAATCCTTTACAGTTTTTTTTTTTAATTTAAAAGTAATTTAGATAAAGTTTAGTAATTATGTGAGTATTAATTATTAAATATGCTAATTTAGTCCAGGGGTTTTATCATTAAAAATGCTGATCTATTCATTAATTATTTTTATCTACAATGTATATGACTTCCAAGTAGTTTATAAATTCAATAACTTTACTTTGTTCAGTGTCAAGAGACTCGATCTCTTGAGAGGAACCGTGTCATAGCACGAGAACGACTTTTGGAAAAGTTGCGATTTTTATACAACCCCAGTGAAAGCAAACAGCAACAGAGATTAGACGCTAAGCAAAAACAAGAAAAAAACATCGAAAGAAAACGCAGACTTCGAGAGGAAGCAATAAAAAATCGCATAGAAATTTAATAAAGCTTATAAAAAATCATGCTTTTTTTTCTAATTACAAATTTTTTTCTAAGTTTCATATTATGTTGTCTTCAATTTTTATTGAATTTTTTACTTTGATTGCTAAATTACAAAAAGTTGTATATATGACAAAGTTTCAAGAAGATTCAAATGATGCTTTAAATGGACTATTCTTTTTCTTCTTTTTTAACAACAAAAAAAATGTGTTTACTTAATTAGACAGTTGGTAAAATTGGATTTCAAAAAGTTTAGGCAGATGTAAAAGCTTTTTTTTTTTATGACCATAGCTATGTTAATATAACTGAATCCAGATTTATTGTTTTATTTTTTAGTTAGTGTAGTGTTAGTAATTGTATTTAGTAATATCAAATACCTATTAGTACTACTAGTTTTCTTTTATGTTAATACTCAAATAACCATGTCTTAATGCCCATTGTTTAAAATCATTTATTTTAGTTTAATTATATTTTAAAGTTGTTGGTATATCAGAAGTTGAAGATCATATAGTAAAAAAATTGTAGATCAGTAATAGTAAAATTCATGTAATAGCATAAGTTACTCCAGTGTTCAACAGTTTTTTTAACTGTAGTTCGAGTTTATAGTGTAACTCTAGTCAAGAAAAACTTATAATCTCTTCAAACAGTTATTCTGAAGGAAGATATTTATTCTGAAAAATGAGGTAACTTTTTAAAAACATTTGTTTTATAATAACTATATGTAATAAAAATTAAACTTAAAAAATAAATAAACTTGGTTTTCAGGTTTACTCCTTCAGAGCATTGTTCACATTGAACTTAGTCTTGTGTTAACTTAAAAGTTAAGTACTTTTTTAATATTTTTAAAGTAAATGCCAATGTTACTCATCTGCTAAAATGTTATATTTTCATTTGTTCACCAACTTCTTTTTTGTGTAAAGTGGAGTGCACTTTAGCTCCCATGATTTGATTTAGGTAGGTAAATGGTATATAAAAAGTTATAATGATAATTTAAAAAAAATCCTATTATAAAAATATTTTTTTACATTTATTTTGAAAAATTAACTAATAATGAATTAATAATTTTAATAATTATATCTATATATCTATATAATAAATATCTATTTTTTAACATCTTTGTTATTGTTTTACTTTTTAAGACAAAGTGGATGTTGCTGCAGCATATGTTGCTGTGTATGCAATTTATTTTTATTTTATTTTTTAATTAATTTTTTTAAATTACAAAAAAAAAAATAATATTTGAGCTTTTGTGATTTTTTCTGGAAGATAAATTAAGTTGAAAGTTTGTTTAAATATTATATTAGGAAAATTTTTGGCTGTGCAAACACAGATGTTTAATGCTGATTGAAATTATATGTAGCTTTTTTTTGGCTGTTACTACTAAATTAATTTTTTTTTTATTCACTCAGGCTTGTTTTTTTTTTTTTTTTCTTTTATTTTCTTTTTTTCTTTTTTCAATTTAATTTTTTTTTTTTTTTTTTTTTCACTTTAATTTTAATTTTTTTGTTAACATTTTAATTCTTTTTAAATAATTTTATGCTTTATTATTTTAGTCTGATGTGACATGGGATCTATTAGCAATCGTACTGAAAATGTTAGTTTAACTCTGTCTGCACCATGTTCTTTAAAACCAGATGTGATTATATATTGTGTGGTTTGTAGCATCATAGTTACACTAATTCTTGTTTGTAACAGCATTATTTTGGTCAAGCTTAGGCCCTTCTCAAAATATCACCACTCAAATATAGAAGTGTTAATATTCTATTTGAGTTTGTTCGATCTTATGGCTTCTATCATGCTAGTTATGGATGTTTATGATCACTTGACCTGCTTTAAAAGATGGCCACTGTTTTGGCTTGGTTGTAAGATTATTTACCCATTGTATCATATTTCTTTAAATATGTCTGTCGCCATTCTCATAATTATGAGTGTTGATCGCTGCAGGTCAATAACAACACCAATGAAAGCAAAGTTTTCGAAGAAGTGCATTCACATCAGTGTAATGATTTCATTTGTTTGCAGTGTGGTACTGCAATGGTATCAGATTTATTCTCAGCAAATAAATTCCAAGGGTTCATGCAGCTTGAACAGACGAACTAAGTTGTATTCATTTTCACGCATTCTTATAACTATAATGCGAGATTTTACTCTCATAATTGTATTCACAGTAACTTCTACGCTAGTGTTTCTTTCCTTTCTAAAAAATGAACTTTACATTGCATCAAATGCTTATAATAAAAATAAACCTCGCAAAGTAATGTTGATGCTGGTAATAATGGAAGTTGTTTTTACACTTCTTGTTATACCATATGATACATTTGAATGTATAATGTTGTTAAAATATTTGCTTGGTGTTAAAATTTCTAACAAGTAAGTTTTTTTTTATATTTCTACTGTTACTAATAATATTTTTTATTATAAACCACTATTTAAATAAAAACTACTAATTAAAATATTTTTTATTTTAAAATATAGAAATGCTGTTTCAATAATGGATCAAGTCTTATCGATTTTGCAAATGTCAAATTGCTTTGCTAATTACTTTATTTATTCAAAGATGCGTCAACATTTGCATAATCGTTCTATTAGTACTGCAACATTTGATATTGAATTTAAACAAATATCTAATGGAAGCAACATATCTTCTCCAGCTCATGGAGCATCTCCTGTCCACATTAGTGATACTACAAACATTAAAGAGTACTTCTAAACAATATTTCGTTACAATGGTGATTTTCAAGAGGAAAACTAAACTTGACGTCTTACTTTGTTGGCTTTTTTATTTGTTCTAAATGCTACCCTATCTTTGTTAATTAATTTGGTAATATCACTTTAACCTTGTTAATATATTTGTAAATACCACCCTAATCTTATTAATTTATTTCTGGTTAAGCTCAATAAATAAACTTTTATTACACCTCTACACTTGTTATTTTTTTAAAGTAAATTTATAATGGATCAGATTTTGTGTTTATCGGAATCATTTTTCATCGTGTTGTCATGTCTTAATAATGTTATTGTATTATTATACATATTGGAAAATTGTTTGAAATTTAATAAATAGTAATGATTATTTATTTGTTTGTTTAATTGTATTATTGTAAATTTATAGGCTATTCAAATGAAAATACTGAATCGTTTTTTTCGCTCGGTATTTACTTGTTAGCAAGTGAAACACTTGGCACTCGTAAATGAAAAATATATAATTTTTTATCTTTTATTTAATTTGAAAATTTCCGTATTGTTTATATATAACATCTGTCAATAATGTATCTATAATCTGCCTATATATATATATATATATATATAATATATATATATATATATATATATATATATATATATATATATATTTATATATTGTTTCAAAAAAAAAAAATTTTATGCTTCAAATTATTCCTGCATTATATATACCGATAATTTTCTAAGTAATTTTATCAAACTGATTGTCTGTATCTGTATGGAAACGATGTTTAGGAATATCCCGAATTATTAATATTTTTACTTTTTTTCCAATGTGGATCTTAGTATAGTACAAAACCACTTAAACATAAACCATGAACCAAAGAAGAAATTATTAAAATCACTATTTAAAATCAAAGAAAATTATTAAAAACATTTATCTACAACAGACTGTTTCTCCTTTTGCAGGTTCATCAGTGAATATAAGTAACTAGTTCATCAGATTTCTTATTGGTCTGTTTTTTAAGAACATTGAGCACTCTGTTTATAGAATACACTAACATAATTTCAGGGGTGAGGAGTCGTAAAAAAAGTAACGACTCCGACTCCAGTTGTTAAAATTTTTTGAGTACAACTCCAACTCCAAAGCAAAATCTTTAAAAAAATTCTTTGAATTCTTTAAAAAATATTGCGCGACAAGATGAATTTTTTTTTTTTGACAAATCTATGCAACGTTCTTTGAGGTTTAGTATGAACATAAGGTTAATTAAATGTTTTGTACATACACGTGCAATACCAAGAAATATTACTATCGGAGTCGGAGTCGCAATATTTTTTAGCGTCTCCGACTCCGCTAAAATTGTCGCAACTGCGACTCCACAACCCTGCATAATTTATATATATATATATATATATATATATATATATATATATATATATATATATATATATATATATATATATATATATATATATATATACATATATATATATATATATATATATATATATATATATATATATATATATATATATATATATATACACGTGTGTACTCTCACGAGCAGAATAAACGGTAGGGTCGGAAATATTTTCAAAATTAAATAAATGGAGAGACATAAATAAACTTCGAATTTCTCAAAACATAAAGACAACTAAAGAATATTTATCCTTCTCCTCGTGAGCAAATTTTTTCGATATCCTAATGGCTGCAGCACATAAAATTAACACGAATTAAAAGTAATCGAGAACGTTTTAGAAACATATCTCACAAAGAAACTCTATTTGTGAAGAAAATTATTTTAAGCAAATACACTTCTTTTTTAGAGCAAAATATAAATTTATCTCTACGATGTAGGTACCCTTGTAATAATTTGAAACTTTTATTCTTTCAACCAAATCAATTCCATTGTATTGGTTTTATTAAATAATGAATTTTGTTACCAAGTTTATAATTCAAAGTCAACTAAAAGTAAATTTTTAAGGTAAAAAAATATAGTGTTTTGAAATCAATTATATCTCAACAAAAATATAATTGATTTCAAAAAATATATATTTTAAAGTATACTTTATATGTCGCCTTTATAAGAAAAAATGTTCTTCATACCCAATTGTATGTTAACTAAAAAATAATAATTATGCTGGTTATAGATATTTTTGAACTGGGGCAGATGCAACATTTTTTGTGTGACTTCCAGACACGGAGCAAACTTTATATGTTTATACTTATGTCTAACAAGGATACTTTTCAAAAAGTTGTAGTGATTGGGAACAAAAAAAAGACTAAATTTTTGCCCCTCTCCCCCTAATGTGAGAGCAACAAGTTGATAAAATGTTTTCTTTACAAAGCTCAGCTAAGCTCATCAATAAATTTTAAATTACATAGTATAATGTCATAGCGTTCAAATATTATGACCATATGAAAGGTGCAAGGGAAAAACAGGGAACGTCAGTGTTTTAAATATTGAGATTTTTTTATTAGTATGTTGTACAAATAATAAACTAACTTCAGTGTTAAATTATAAGCAAATAAATAAAAATTAATGGTCTAATTTAGTGATAAGAAAAGGAAAAAAACATAATGCTACGGGAAGTCTTTGAAAACTACATTTGATTTATCTCACTTTGCAAATAACTGACATTCCCTGAAAACGGACGCTTGTGAAAGTATCTAATGAAGAGACATGTTTTGACGTAATGAATTAGTTTTTCGTTTAGAACTTTGGAGGAAAGAACAAAAATAATATCTAAGAGTAAAAAAATTGTTAAACTATTTTTTATTTCTTCAAAATCAATAAACACGGGTAGTAGGGGTGGGGGTGCTGTGTGGGTAATACAAGCTTGAAGGAGGTTCAAAAGAAGCTGAAAAATAAATAAAGGTATGTGTATAATATTTTAATCCATATGTTATAAGATTTCATAACACTGATTGTTAATGTAATATAAGTTTATGAAAATGAATAATAGTTTTGAATTTGACGTTCCAACACAATATATAATAAAATTTTGTCTATTACTAATAGTAATAGTAATATATATTGAAAAATATCATAATAAGCACAATAAATTGGCAAAGTTAGAGGGTGTAATCTCCATCTAAAATTAACTTAATATCAAGCTGATAGGGTATTAAGTTAGTTTTGGGTAGTACTAGTGGTAAATAATACATAAATTGTATATTTTACTATCTAAAATAAATACTATTTTATTAAGTATAATCTTGCCAGCACCGCGGATGTGCATTTAACTGGAAAATTCACACCTCCTTCCCTATCAATGTCACTTATATGGTCACTTATCAGAACGTATATCAAACCTTAAACCTCTTGGTTTTGAGCTAAAACTCTAACCACTACACTACAACTGTTTAATTTGATCTTAAGTTGACCTGCTCTTGCTCTTAAAAAGAGTTAAAATTTTATAAAAAATGGCGTAGCGTGTGAATTTTCCCTAAAATTTGGCATAAAATTTAAAAAGTGGCTAGTTATGCAGTGTTAATTTTTAATAAAACTTCTGAAATTAAGCATTGCACCAAATTTCAATCTAAACACAAACTGCAAGGAATTGTCCATAAAGTATGGGTGAGAGGTCTAAAAATAGCGTTTAGGAAATGGTAGGGGGGGGGGGACAAAAAGTCAATTTTAATAGTAATGTGACGCCAAATCAAAAAAAGATGCTAAATCATAAAATGTTGGTTTAAAAGGTTGTTCCCTTTTACAACAAAACATAAAACATAAAATATTATAGACTTTGAGTTCGTAGATGTTAAGTGCTTTAACGTTTTTAAATAAAATATTTCAATGAAAAACGGTTTTCAAAACATATTAAACGCATTGCGTGTTTCTGACGATGGTAAAAATTTCGTAACTTACTTTTAGATGTACTTCCCCAAACAATATTTGCATAATTTATATATCTATGAATAAATGAGTAGTAGAGTTCAGGGCCGATGACATGGGTTTTAAAGTGGGGGGGGGGGGGGGGGAGGGGGCGGGGCGGCACAAGCATCAGTTTGTGAAAAAAAGTCCTTTATATAAATATTTTTCTTAAAAAAAAAAAGGTTTTTTAGGAAAAAAGTGGGGAAGGGGAGCCCTGGCTTCCCCCCCCCCCCTCCCCTGGTGTTGTCGGCCCTGGAGTTTAATTAAATTTTGTTTACTTAGATAGTATCTAACTTTATATAGAATTTCAATATTTTTGGCCTACTTGGTAGAAATAAAATCGATATGATACTTCTATGTAATATTTTCATCAATGTAATGCCTAAAAATCTTGTGACCGACTCCTTTTTTATTTTAATTTTATCATAAAAAGTTTTTTTATGATAAAATTAAAATAAATTAAAAGCAAATTATTTGGTAAAAAAACGCTTTTTTGAGAGAAAGTGGAAAAGGATCCATTTTGTTTTATCAATATTTAAAGTTAACTTATTGCACTTAAACCAGTTGGAGATGTGATTGAGTTCCTTATTCATATTTGAAAAAAGTTCATTGATGTCTTAAATGAAAAAAGTTCATAAATGTCATAAATGAGTATTGTCCGCAAACATGATACTCATAAGATTAGAAGCTTTATTTAAATCATTTATACAGACTAAAAACAAAAGTGGGCCTAGAATAGAACCCTGTGGAACACCTCATTTTATATCAAATAATTTTTCATTATAAAAAATTAATTGACATAAAATGTTAATTAATTTTTCATAATTTAATTGACATAAATTCTTTCTAAAATTTTCGAGAAGATGGAAAGAACTGAGATAAGGCGATAATTACTAATGTTTAATTTTTTTCTTCGTCTTTGTAAATTGGAGTAACTTTAGCTATTTTTAATTGGTCGGCGAATATACCTTGCTGTATAGATGCGCTGAAGACTTGATAAAGAATACATTTTTAAAGCAGTCTATGACATTTATTTCGTCCGCACCCGTAGCTATTTTTTAAATTTTAAACTTTTACTATTATTTCTTTTATTATCAATCGTGACCCTTATTTGATTAAATTCTTCTATCGGTAACATTATGGGATTGTTTTCTTATTAATATTATAGTTGCTATTTGTATTGCTATTATTATTCTTGTTATTGTTATTATTATCGTAATACTGTTTATAAACTTATAATTATTATTCCTTTGCACATTTGTTATTCCTTTAACCACTTTTGTGTGACTCATCCTTAAAAATCATTTTATTGTTATTGTTTATAACTACTAATATTACTGTTGCAATTATTCTTACAACTGTCTCAAGAGAACTTGAATAATCTTTTTTTAGAGAGCAAAGAGATTTTTTGAGAGGTTTTTTTAGAGAGCAAAGAGATGTATTTTTTGAGAGGTTTTGAGGAACTATTTAAAAGAAAAAATTTAACAACATGAAACACTCTACAAAGTGCTTATTTT